GACAAACTTCTCTTCAAAGTGTATAGAAAACCTACCAACAAGGACGATCTTATACACTTTTATTCACACCAAGACACCCGCACTAAGAGAGGAGTCCTCATTGGCTTCTTCTTGAGAGCTCTTCGCATCTCCAGCCCTTGTTTTCTAGAAGAAGAATGCACTTACATAACACAAGCCTTTACACGTCTTCAGTTCCCATCTTTCTTCATCCGAGATTGCAGACTTAAGGCACAAGCTATTCTCAACAAACCGCCCATGGAACAGCCCCCTAAGCAGTTCATAGTACTCCCATGTGGTGATGTTGCCACGAATACTCGCCGGGCACTTGCTATGAGTAACATCAACGTTTCCACCATAAACACATCATCTATCAAAGACCTCACTACGAAACGCAGCCCCACACCTCTAACTTCTACAGCAGGCGTCTACACTATCCCCTGTGGGTTCTGACACAAGAAATATGTAGGCGAGACAGGCAGAGATCTTGCAGTCCGCCTGAATGAGCATCGAAATGCCTCTAACAGAGACGATGTAAGGTACGCCTGTGTCCTCCACAGACTCCACGGGACATTTGATGAACTGGAATGAGGCACAACTCGTTCTCACCGAACCAGACCTCAGACGCCGACGGTGCCTAGAAGCCTCACTAATCGCCGTCACCGACACTATAGAACGCAACACTGGAAACTACAAAATTTCAAAAATATTGGCATACATGATACTTAATTAAGCACCACCAACCCAACAACACAGGAGTCACATGATTTCATCGTCTACCCGTCCTCATCATAGACAGAGGTTGTTTTGATAAGGACCTGCCTCGCATGGGCCAGTAGGCCTTCTGCAGTGTTCCTCCATTCTTATGTTCTTATGTTCTTATGACATTCCTCAGGTCACGTGCGTCACACCTCACTCTCCGCCTATATATATAATGCCTTTCTACCTCTGTATGTTAGAAGTGATCAAGGTCCCAGGACCGAAACGTTTTCTAATAAATATGTCATAGTGTTTGCTTACGTGTCTTTCTAAACCATGGTTCGGGTACACCGTCACCACTGAGCCGGGACACCATCACCACTGAGCCGGGACACCATCACCACTGAGCCGGGACACCATCACCACTGGAGCATATTGTTGACTGGTTGAAGAGCATATTGTTGACTGGTTGAAGAGCTTATTGTTGGCTGGTTGAAGAGCATATTGTTGACTGGTTGAAGAGCATATTGTTGACTGGTTGAAGAGCATATTGTTGACTGGTTGAAGAGCATATTACTGACTTGTTGAAGAGCATATTGCTGACTGGTTGAAGAGCATATTGTTGACTTGTTGAAGAGCTTATTGTTGACTGGTTGAAGAGCATATTGCTGACGTGTTGAAGAGCATATTGCTGACTGGTTGAAGAGCATATTGTTGACTGGTTGAAGAGCATATTGTTGACTGGTTGAAGAGCATATTGCTGACTGGTTGAAGAGCATATTGTTGACTGGTTGAAGAGCTTATTGTTGACTGGTTGAAGAGCATATTGCTGACTGGTTGAAGAGCATATTGCTGACGTGTTGAAGAGCATATTGCTGACTGGTTGAAGAGCATATTGTTGACTGGTTGAATAGCATATTGCTGACTTGTTGAAGATCATATTGTTGACTGGTTGAAGAGCATATTGTTGACTAGTTGAAGAGCATATTGCTGACTTGTTGAAGAGCATATTGCTGACTGGTTGATGAGCATATTGCTAACTGGTTGAAGAGCCTATTGCTGACTTGTTGAAGAGCATATTGCTGACTTGTTGAAGAGCATATTGCTGACTGGTTGAAGAGCATATTGCTGACTGGTTGAAGAGCATATTGCTGACTGGTTGAAGAGCATATTGCTGACTTGTTGAAGAGCATATTGCTGACTGGTTGAAGAGCATATTGCTGACTTGTTGAAGAGCATATTGCTGACTTGTTGAAGAGCATATTGCTGACTGGTTGAAGAGCATATTGCTGACTGGTTGAAGAGCATATTGCTGACTTGTTGAAGAGCATATTGTTGACTGGTTGAAGAGCATATTGCTGACAGGTTAAAGGTTGCTCAGCTGACTGGTTGAAGGGATGCTGACTGTAGGATGTACTGCAGGCTGGCTAAAGAGTACATTGTCAACTAGGTGAAAGGTGTTCTGACCACTGGTTGATGTTCTGACCACTGGTTGATGTTCTGGCCACTGGTTGATGTTCTGACCGCTGGTTGATGTTCTGACCACTGGCTGATGTTCTGGCCACTGGTTGATGTTTTGATCACTGGTTGATGTTCTGACCACTGGTTGATGTTCTGACCACTGGTTGATGTTCTGACCACTGGTTGATGTTCTGACCACTGGTTGATGTTCTGACCACTGGTTGACGTTCTGGCCACTGGTTGATGTTCTGACCACTGGTTGATGTTCTGACCACTGGTTGATGTTCTGACCACTGGTTGATGTTCTGACCACTGGCTGATGTTCTGGCCACTGGTTGATGTTTTGACCACTGGTTGATGTTCTGACCACTGGTTGATGTTCTGACCACTGGTTGATGTTCTGACCACTGGCTGATGTTCTGGCCACTGGTTGATGTTTTGACCACTGGTTGATGTTCTGACCACTGGTTGATGTTCTGACCACTGGTTGATGTTCTGACCACTGGCTGATGTTCTGGCCACTGGTTGATGTTTTGACCACTGGTTGATGTTCTGACCACTGGTTGATGTTCTGACCACTGGTTGATGTTCTGACCACTGGTTGACGTTCTGGCCACTGGTTGATGTTCTGGCCACTGGTTGATGTTCTGACCACTGGTTGATGTTCTGACCACTGGTTGATGTTCTGACCACTGGTTGATGTTCTGACCACTGGTTGATGTTCTGACCACTGGTTGATGTTTTGACCACTGGTTGATGTTCTGACCAATGGTTGATGTTCTGACCACTGGTTGATGTTCTGGCCACTGGTTGATGTTTTATGTCGGTTGAAGTTCTCTTGACTACTTGATGGTGTACTGAACAATTTTGCACACATTATAAAATGCTTAAAAAAATTCACAAGAAGTAGCAATAACTACAATAGATTCATTTAAATTTTCATTTTAATATATACACAAAATAATTTGATCATTCCCAAGCGGAAACATTCACTCGGAATTTTTCCACAAATATGATAATGACCATTAATGAATTAGGTCACCATGAATATTGAATGAACCTACGTTGAATATTAATTTTAAAATGACGTATTGAGAAACGAAAGTTCTGGTGCCTGGGCCGGCGACCCATTTTCAACTGTACCCACAGATGGAGCTGATGAAAAGTGAAATTCGTTACATAATACAAAAACTGAGACATTATGTTGCTTAACTGAATATTAAATAAATAAAAAAATCAAATTTGCTTTATTTTCATAGCTAGTTTCCCTCAAGGGAGATTCCTTGATACTGGAGCTCTTGATCTAGGGAACTGGATCTGTGCTCCAGTTCCCTGAATTCAGCTTTGAATACCTTCTATCTCTTCCCCCACTTGCGCTGTATAATGCTACGGGTTTAGTGCTCCCCCTTGATTATAATAATACGTAATTCATAGCCAGTTCGTCACTAGTGGAGACTGCCGACAGGATTGCCCACCGTTAATTACGTTCTAATGAGGCTATCAGGGATCAAATAGATAATTACTCAAAGAAAAAACTACTGTTGTATTTACTCACTATTAAATTTTGAGGTCGTTACAATCAATACACGAAGAATTTCAGGTCATGATAAAGTCCACCCCCCAAGTTGAGATTTATCAAGCATACATAGTTAAATATACCGCCTTAAAAGGTAAAGGAAAACCAAGAGTAGTAATGAGCACTTTGACCGGTTTGGTCACTACAACTTGCAGGAATAAAAAAGTATACATGGCACAAAAACAACGATAAACTTCAAACACAAAACAACGATAAGCTTGAAACACAAAAACAACGATAAACTTCAAACACAAAAACAACGATAAACTTCAAACACAAAAACAACGATAAACTTCAAACACAAAAACAACGATAAACTTCAAACACAAAAACAACGATAAACTTCAAACACAAAAACAACGATAAACTTCAAACACAAAAACAACGATAAACTTCAAACACAAAAACAACGATAAACTTCAAACACAAAAACAACGATAAACTTCAAACACAAAAACAACGATAAACTTCAAACACAAAAACAACGATAAACTTCAAACAATAGAACCTAAGAAGATACACAAGCAGTAAAAATAAATACTATCATACAAAGTTAAAAGAAAAACCATTATTTAAATGTTCCCCGAGGTCCCTATAGACACCCTGACAATTATGAAGACATGATGTATGTGCTATATGACGTCAGAAGAAGGCAGGTCACATGTGAGGTCATGACATTACCAAAGGTCAAGTAAATGTAATTACGGTATTACGCTCCTTATTTGTTCACCTCAAACTGGGACGATATATATACGTGTTGATTTGGCTTTTTCACCTAATATTATATTAAGGAGTATCTTCAGTAACATCTAAATTGAAGTTACTCGGCTTTACAATAATATCTGACCATGAATTAATTAGCTGTTTTAATAGGTAGGAAAAGAGTCGGACACGGGGAATGTTATAGAGATGTTTGTGTCTGGTGTTACGCCTGTGGGTCCTGTCACAACTATCAAGAAAGCGTTTTAGGTCAAGAATAAGTTCCTGAAATTTATTGGGGTTTGCAATGATATAGACTCAGCTGTGAGGGAGTGCATGAAGGCAGAGCGCTTAGAGAAGCGTAAGAACCAGATGGCTAGTGAGGAGCGAAGGAAGAAATTATTTGCCAAGCTTGAAGGACACACTTGGCGAAACATGTAAAGTGTGAAAATATATAATAATTGGAGCAAATATTAAAGTACTTTCGTTATTCGGAATTAAAACACTACGTACTGAATGTTTAAATTTTCCTTAGGTTAGTTTAGCAGGAAGCATAAAAATTATCACCATGACAAATGTTGTAGATCCTATACAAGAAACAGTTGCGCTGGATCTCAAGTATCCAAGTGTAAGTGTGAGATACTTTACAAAATATTACTTTATACCAAAGGAGAGGAAGAAAGTGGAAAATGTCAGCAATTTGTCGAATGTTGATCAAGATTCACCTGATGAGCTCAGTAATACCGAGGCTAATCCTTTAAATGTCAACAGTGAAGAAAGCAGTTTCCAGAGCCATGAATATGGTTTTGCCAAACTTAATGAGGAACAAATTTCGTCAAATCCAGACAGCAGTGGGTATACGTGTGTTATGGTACACACCAACAAGTTGTGCCTTGTAACCCTCTCACATGTTCACCCCATATTGGCTGAAAGAAAGGAAATTACTGAGGTAAGCTATAATGTAGGCAAATTCAACCGATTAGAAAATCAAGTATCTGGAAAGGGAAAGCGAGGTGCTCAGCTGATGGGAGTGCAGTCGTCTGTGTGCATCATTACGTGTTCCGATGGTTCCAAATACAATATCTTAGCTGAAGTTCAAGGAAAACTAGTGGAGGTAAATGAGCGATTTTTTTTATATTTTATTTAAAACATCATAAATACAAGGCTGCTTAAAAATTAAATAGCATCACCATACATAATCTATAGAGTACAACAAGGTACACACCATAAATACCAGAAAAAATCTTTAACTAATACGTATAGATATATACGACAAACACACCATAAAACACATACGTACGTTTCACTAAACACACACAATACCAAAAGATATAACTGTTTGTGTAACAAATATAACACTGGTGGAAACCCCACTTAACCCATTATAACCTACATGCACATCATACAAACATGTTACATTGATGTTTAAACAATGTTATGTAATTTGCATACAAAATATACAATTGATTATAGAAATTCCAACTTAGACACAAATTCAATGATTTACTCTAACACAAATTCATTAACATAATAAATATTATATAAATTGACGATCATATTAATCGTCAGCAATTTCCATCCATTCTATATGTGTTCAATCTTGATACCTATGAACTACGTTTGAATCACAAACAAAAATCATAATGTTGCTACATATTTATAGGATACAATTGGACAACTCAGGGTAATGTACACGTGTTATATCCCTTTAATACTTTGGTGACTCACAGACTAGATTGAACAGTAACAGGGAAGGGATAAAACATGCATATATATATATATATATATATATACATATATATACATATATACACATATACATATATACATATATATATATATATATATATATATATATATATATATATATATATATATATATATATATAATATATATATATAATATATATATATATATATATATACATATATATACATATATACACATATATATACATACATACACATATATATACATATGCACGTTTATATACCCAAATATCTGGACCTCCATAACACAGTCAAAAACAAAACTAAGAAAACTAGTGACTCAAGAATACAACGAGTCTTTACACAAAGGAAAGCATCAAAAACATAACAAATATGTCAAGGCACCCCAGTCATTTTGTACACAAAAGGTACAATAAGTAACCCTAACCCCTGAATCTACAACCACACATCCATAACAACTAAAATACATTCATGCCTAATCTCATAATCACGCAACTCACATCCTTCCCCCCAAGAGACGAGCCAGCTATTGCCACTGACCTACACGACAACTTATTCGGCATGCCCGTATATTTATCACAGATTCACAAGGGTTTCAAGAGTGAGCCTTTTATAACCGTCCGAAAAACCCTTATCCCACCTCCTCCCATACAATTCCCTATTCCTACACATTGTATGATAAAACGTTATTGCAAGGACACGCCTTCTCACCTCACTGACCCCTTTCCCCCGCATTACCCACGAAATATAAATGTAATCCACGATAAAAATAATCTAAAGCCCGTTCAACGTCCTGGTCTAATCCACCGATGTCGAGGGCTTAACGCACGCAGGACCTGCACTCCTCTCCCTCCCACCCTCTGTACCACCCTACCCAACCAACTCCTGACATCTAAACCTTCGCAAAAATGACCCAACGTGAAAAGCCGTGTCTTCCCCACCACAAAACCCACACCCGCCTCCCTCCACGACTCTTCTGGATCGTAGTATTGCCCCTGACGGCAATATACCATGTAAAAAACGAAACATGACTTCACGCACCCTAGGCCGTAATTTCAACTTGCTAAATCGGAGCCATATATTTTCCCACTAGTACATGGGGAACAAACCTTCTACTGGAGCTGCGCACGTACCCCCTAGTAACCTACTTAAAACCCTTATGCGAATGTTCCTCCGTTCCTTTACCATCAACAAAGCTCGTAGTACAATCTCACAATCCCTTAACTCCATTCCCCTATACCACTTTTTCACCCTCGTATATACTTGGTCCATATTTCCCGCCATCACACCCACACGCAAAACCTCCCACTTTAGAAAAACACATTTCACCCTCCGCTTTAAGTCCAACAATCCTAAACCTCCTCGACGTACAGGCAACATAACAACCTCACGTTTTAACCAATCACACCTCGATCCCCACAGAAAGGTAAATACTCTTCTCAATATTCCATTGATCGCTGTTCCTGTAATTGGGAATACAGCCGCAACGTGCCACACCTTACTATACAATAAAACGTTAACAACGATCACACGTTGGGCCAGAGTGAGATGTTGGGGCCTCAAAACACCCAGACGACCAATGACCTTTTCCAAGGTCCTTACTGAATTTTCCTCCCGCGCCACATCCAAATCGTCTCTATAAATAATACCACAAATCTTTAATGACATCGCAGTTGTGTTAACCACGTTACAGCTCACCATTCCACCCCCTTTCCAGGTCCCCAACCCCATGATCATCGACTTTTCACTATTTACCTTCATACCCGTGGCACGTTCAAACACACGCACATCTTCCAACCCTTTCATATTATTATTATTATTATAATCAAAAAGAAGCGCTAAGCCACAAGGACTATACAGCTACCCTTTCATAGACATTCGTTCACACACCAAAACAGTCGTATCATCCACATAACCTATTAATGCCGGCCAACAATCCCCTTCCCCTACCCCACCCCCACCCCGGGAACTAACTGTGCTCTCAACCATCCTGTAAAAGGGATCCTGAAAACACGCACAAATGAGCGATTAGTAAAACAGCCCCAACTTGTGAGTGAGCATCCAGATGCAGAGGGCTACTTAGCTGTTCCCCTCAAGGAAGGTTCCTTGATGTTGGTGAGGGGCTCTTGATTTAGGGAATTGGATCTGTGCTCCAGTTCCCCAAATTAAGCCTGAATGCCTTCCACATCCCCCTCCCCAGGCGCTGTATAATCCTCCGGGTTTAGCGCTTCCCCCTTGATTGTAATAATAATAATACTTAGCTGTTGTTCTGCCTCCATTGAGAAATGGGAGCAGAACATTATTAAACTTGATATTGAGCGTTTGAAGAAAAATAAAATGTATTAAATTGAAAAAAAAAGTAGGTAGGAAATGTTTTATCGATCAAAACTACTGGCACAACTTGTTAAGTACCAGGGAGCAGTTACCCAACCTTCCGCTCAGTCCGAGTTGCTGTCTGTCAAGGAAGCCGAATTAGTTTATTCCCACCTCTGGTCGAGAGAGTGTCTCGTACATTGGAGCTTGGTCTTAGAGTCCGATTGAGGGTACTGAGAGAGCCAAGGACCTTCAGATGGCCCACTTGGACAGATATCGCTGGGACTGAGAGACTGTATTTGAAAAGCTATGAGAATTTTGAATAGATCTAACCGTTAAGTGTGTAATTGAAACTAACAGGAAAAGACTAATGGGAGTTTTCTCTAAGAACTCTTTCATATGTTTTAGTGTTGTGTTAAAACTAATTCTGTTTATGTTAAGAGGAGCGGAGTGAATACTCTATTATATTAAGCTCGAGGAAGCTAGCGGACTTGAAGGGATGTTTCTTTCGATTTATTGTTACTGAGTCTACAAGAGTGTTAACACTGAATGTGTCGAATGTAGTTAGTGAACTTGAAACAACCGGTGGTCTATTTGATTACTATATAAATTCCTTGTTTTAATAGTTAACTTATTAATGAAATAATGGAAACATTAAGTGGCTATTAAGAAACTTAACAAAACCTGCAGGAACTATAGACATTCTTTTACTCCAATAAGTGATTCTAATAACTGATGCCTTCAAGATAAAAATCAAACTGTTCTTTTTCTGTTTGTTACGTGAATAAAACTGTTCTTTTTCTGTTTGTTACGTGAAGCACTATAACAGGGTGGCCCCGGGCCCTGTTAGTAACATACGGACAATGTGGGCAATACATAGGTCCAGCCAACCTGTATATTCCACTGCATTATTCAGTGGTATTGATAAGTTGGATTGTTGCTACATTCAAAATTCTAAGTCTGGCCCTGTAGTTCTCGTGGAGTATCAGTTGTGCTCTTCTTCAGTTCGTGATGTGAGAAGAAGGCTGCTATGGCCTTCACGTGCGTTGTTGATCTTCACCTTCCCGAGGAATACTTGTCGTGAAGACGTGTCTTCAGGTTTCTGCCGGTCTCCTCTGCATTTGATTTACCGCATCCATCTCATGGTATGTGTTTACTACTTTGTATGTAGTTTGATTTAGAGATTTCAGTGATCTTTATCATAGCTTTGGTGGATAGGACTGCTACATCTATATCAACTTTAATAAGAATCGAGGTGATAGTGATGGCACTGTGACCAGTGTGGAGAACCAGTATTTTTACCGATGCTGGTATCAAGTTTTGATGTAATTGTATGAGGAATGTTTTTTTTTTTTGTAGGAGGGGATAATGAGTGGGATATTTGGGTTGGTGAGTACATCCTCAATGTACTTTTGTTCTTTCTAAAAGGTATTCATCATTGCAAATTGGCAGTGCTCCTAAGATGAAACACATAACTGCCAGCTTGACAATGAGGCTACGGCGGGAGAAGTAGAGTACCAGTGTGAGCGCACGCAGTGAAACTCGATAATTATAACACTTGTATAATAAACTTGTTGACAATAATAGCTGTCATTGTATGATACATCGCTGCGTGAAAACCTCTACCTCTAAACCACAATATACACCATCTATGTATAACATTTACTTTCACTGGAGTTCGCCTCTCGGACAGACTGTTGTCAATACCTTCCGACACAATTCACACCACAGCTGTCAAACATTGTTCCCAGTTATATAAAATAAATGAATTTAATTTAATTAATATATATATACCATTAACTTGGGGTTATCCTACCTTCTAATTACCATGCGTAAGGGACACGCTCCCTTATATTCTAATTAGAGTATGAAGTAGGAATAATTCAGTCAGTGATGAAAGAGGGAGTAAAAAGGATAAATCAACAGGGGTCAAGATAATACTTTTATTTATACTTTAATAGGTGAAATATACTGTACTCAAACGAATTTTACAAATACATAGAAACCATAAATTGGGAAGAATTACTAAGACACATCAGACAACACCGCAGACATGTATTCCAGTTTGAGTGCAATCCCAGCACTCAATCTCTTCCACAAGCG